GTAACCCCTCTGTACAGTATGTTCACAAATAAAATAAAATAAAATTAAAAAAAAAAAGAATTCTCAGCTTTTTCCTCCACTCCTCTTAAAACACTATTTTCAGATTGAATAACTTTGCTGGGGAAGATGGAAGAGAGATACTCACTTCTGATAAAGCATAAGAAGTACCCAAATTCAAAGTTTTAAAAAAAAAATAAATTGCTCTCACCAGGGTATGGAAGAAAGTTTGTTCAAATATAAAAGCAGAATTCTTTTTCTTTAATGATTTTAAGAGTTCATCATCACATGTTTTTAATAAGCAAATTTTCAACCATTTGATGCATCATACATGTCCTGCTGGCAAAGTATTCTTAAATGTCTTCTTGCCATCTCTGAATTCTTCTTGTTTTTAGCATTTTGTCTAAACTTTTTATAAAGGCAAACATTCATTGCCCAAGGCCACCAAGAAAGCTAATGGCAAACTTGAGAAAGGAATCGCAAATCCCATTTTGATCCCCAACCACTACCATGCTCATTTGTAGCATTAAATGGAAACAAATCGTTCCCTTCACAGAAAACTCCTATAATCTCGGGAGAAATATTGACATATCACATGTGAGTCACGCCTCTGTGGTTGGTCTGAATATCAAATTCTGAATCTCTCCGAACTGTTCCAGATGCACACCTATTTCCTATTTACCCAGAATAGCATGTGGCATGAAAGGAAGATTTTCAAATGCATTTGAGAATGTCACCATCCACCTTAGTTTTATGGGATTGCCTAGAGAAAGGAGTTATTTGCGCTGAAGAAAATTATTCTCATGACTATTAACTTTCTCCTTTCCCATCCCTTGGGCTTCCCATGTTATTTGAATTCTCCATTTCAGAGTAAAGCCTTAAAGTGAAGCTGACTCATGTGCCCCATGATTAACTGTAACTTCTTTTCCTTTCTTCCTTCAGAGCCTTTCCACAATGTGAATATTTCCCGTGCTGACCAGCCAAGATTCCTCTGCTGGTCAAACCAAATATAAGATGACCATTTTGGGGGGGTAAGTGAAAGATGTTTTAAAGCAGCTTCCAGATCTCCAATGAAAGTAGAGTTCTGGGAGTGATTAAAAATCAAAATCTGAGAGTGATAAAATTAGGGAAGTTCACAAATGCATGCAGAAGTGATTGAGTCTTTCATGAACCTACTTAAGGCTGAACCCATGGGTTTGAGGATTTGGTTGTGAAAATATTTTTACAAAATCCAATGTAAATGTTATGCCCAATAAATGTAACTCATTTAAGATGTTGGATAAGTAGATTACAGGCAAACCAGAGTATAATTTGGGGGTTTGGGGAGGGGGTATAGCTCTAGTGGTAGAACACTGCCTACCAAGCACAAGGCCCTGAATGTAACTTCAACATTGTGAAAATTGAAGAATTTGTACCTTTTTTTTTTTTTTTTGGTCTATCGTGGGGCTTGAATTCTGGGCTTGGGCTCTGTCCTTGTGCTCTTCAGCTGTAAGCGAGCGCTCTACCACTTGAGCTACAAGACAACTTCCAGTTTTTTGGTGGTTTATTGGAGATAAGAATCTCACAGACTTTCCTTCCATGGGCTGGCTTTGAACCTCGATCCTCAGAGCTCAGCCTCCTGAGTAGCTAGGATTACAGACATGAGCCACCGGTGCCCGGCTTTGTACCTTTTTCATATGTATCACTATTGTCTTAGAACAATGCCTTATTGTAGTTCACATAGAATATCTAACATAAAAATCCCATATAGTAATACTCACTGATAGTGAGAACACAAAATAAGCATTAGAGAGCCCTAGGCAGAGGCAGAATAGTTCAGCATAGGCCTTAAAGAAAACGCATTACCTTTAATCTGGGAATACCCTTTTGTGCATTTTATTATTCTAATAAAGCCATCAGGAAGACACAGGAAAGTGTATATTTTTGTGCAAAGAGTCTCATCACAACCCTTTGGAACCATCAGAAAGTGATGGTTAAAAAGTGAAATGCTCTTTAAACAATAACGGATGCTCAAAAAGAGAATGACAGAAACAGAAAACAGACCGTGTCTTCAGTGAGGGTACTAGTGGGAGGGGTAAGGGTGAATGGAGAGCATGAAGAGGAGCGAATAGTCAACATACGTTTTGTATATGAAGGGAAATGGAACGATGAAGATTGTTAAGATTGCTGTGGGATGTGAAGCACAGGGGATGTAACAGCACAGCAGAGAGTGTGCATCTGGTTGAAGTACAACGAATGCATATGTGGAAATGCCAAAATGACAAGTACAATTACTTGATGTTACTAAGTGGGGAAGAACTAGCAACAACCCATCTAAAAAGAGAACATTGATTCCTTTATAACATATACCCATAACATGGACTATATGTAGTCATCAGAGTGTTTAAAAAATTGGTTAAAGAGAGTTAAAACAGGCGCTGGGAATATGGCTTAGTGGTGGAGTGCTTGCCTAGCATGCATGAAGCCCTGCTTTGATTCCTCATTACCACATACACAGAAAAGGCCAGAAGTGGCTCTGTGGCTCAAGAGCAAAAGAAGCAGAGGGATAGTGCCCAGGCCCTGAGTTCAATCCCCAGGACTGGCCAAAAAAAAAAAAGAGTTAAAACATAGTATTGAATTTAGAAGCAAACTACACACATGTGTAGCAGAATTCTGATATAAAAGTACCTTCATATAGAATGTATGTATGTGTACCAAAGAAAAAGAAAAACGTTTAAGGAATTGCAATGTCACTAAGGTGGTTTGCTTCTGATTTTCTGAGAGTTTCTGTACTTTCTGTTCTCACTGCAATTGAGATGGATTGTTTTTGAGATTATAATACATTTATTTCAGAAATAGGCTTCGTCAAAAAAAATCCTTGTTTTATTTTTTAAATGTTTATTTTATCATGATACAGTGATTACAGAGAGGTTACAGTTACTTATTTTGTTTCTTAAGCTGGTCATTTATCTCAAATATTTATAGGGTCTGGCCCTATCAGTACTTGGCCTTGCCAGGTATTGGGTCCATAACAGAGTTTCAAGATACTAGTGTATTAAGGGATGATATTTAAATATTTTGCTGGACTACATGATTAGATTTTGTGATATTTCTTTCCTTCAGATCTAGGGTTTGGAGATGTTACTATGAACTGTACTGGAAACAAGAAGAAACACCTCTTGATGCTAATGCATATTTGATTACTTTTCCCAAAAGAACAATTTCTACTCTAATAGTTTCTATTTCCATAGCTTATAGCTCGAGTAGTGACTTCCAACCTTGGCATCCTACAAACACGTGGGAGCTTTCATGATTCCCAGAGCCCGTGTCATAGACAAATGAATCAGAACCTCTGAGGACTGGATCCCGGCATCAAGATTTGTTAAGGTCCCTAGATGAATGAAATATGTAGTTAAAGTTTCAAGCTCTGAGTTAGAGAGATTATATTGATTTGTTGTCCAAATATGAACACCTTCCAAAGTGAAGTACAGCACTACTGATGGCTATTGTGAGGCGTCAGCAAGCAAGGGAAGGCCTGAGCACACTAGGCTATATGCTCACTCCGATTTGGACTTCCTGCTAATGTCATTCTGTCCTTTATATCTTACAAAGATTCTATGAAACCTCTGCACCCTTGGGAGTTTTAACGTTACTAGACTCCCTTTGAGAATCTTTTCAATTACCTCAAATTCTCACTTCAGTTGAATTCTTTTCTGTTCAGCTTCTTAGAAGTTGTTTTCCCACCTCTACACTGAAAATGGCCCAAACAAGGGACCTAGGCCCATGTGGTTCTCTAGGAGAAACCTAGGCAGGTGAACTCCTCAGACAGCTGAGGATAGCTAGATCTAGCTTGAGTGGCTCATAGACAAACACTATGCAGAAGAGTATTTTTAAAGAGTAATATTAAATGTCCTTGTTCCTAAAAAGAACCTTAGCCTTTTCTACTGCCCAGGATCTTGCCATTTATTATATTTCCTAGCTCTTTCTCTGCTTTCAGGTATGTTCTCGCTACCTTCCTGAGTTCTTATTCCTGTTTTACATAGGGACATTCACCATGTCAGTTCTGCGACTATGGTTTGTAGGCTTTTCTGTCCACCCAAAGCAGCTTAGCAAAGGAACCTTCTCAAAGGCAGTCCCTTCATTTCTCTAAAACTTCTATGTTTAGTGTTTTTGTTTTTGTTTTTTTGAGGAACCTCCCTACCGCTTTCCAGAGTGGTTGAACAGACTTAGAGTTCCCTTTTGGCTTCATCCTTATCAACATTTGGCCAATGACACATGAAGAAATGTTAAAATTTCTGGCCATAAAGGACATGCAAATCAAAACAACACTGAGATTCCACCTCACCCCAGTTAGAATGGCCACTATCAAGAAAATAAGCGATGTCTAATTTATGGTAAAGTTTAGCATACATATATGCAAGTAGTAAAAGTATACTATCTGAAGTTTCAGGCATCCACTGGGGGCCATGAAATATATCCCCTTGCAGATAAAAGGGGTCTAATGTATGCCTCACTTTTTTTAATCAGAAAAAAAGAACTACCTTAAATATAGCCTGCTAGGAAACATTTGGACCCTAACACGCTCTGTTTTAAAACATGTAGGGTGAAAAGTGGGAATATTTGGGTCCTGTTGTGTATCAGGCTTTATGTGAGACACAATATAGAAGAATCAGATTTTCCCCCTAGCAAAAAATTCCAGGAACCAAATGTAATTCTGCAAAATGCCTTATCAACACACCCTTTCAAAACCAGGTATTCTGGGAGTTTTGATGGCAAATGGAACTTTTAAGGAATTTTCATTTCTAAGTGGACTAATAGTTTTCCCAATAGCTCACTTTGAAAATGATAGTAATCCCCATGAAATTTTCAATGCCATAGTCAAGAAAGTATTCCTATACAAATTCTTGATGAATTTTGTGTTCATGAAATTATATTTGTCAGTTGGATGGCTTACATCGGGATTGAAATCTTAAATGTGCATATGACAGTAATAAGTGTTCCATCAACTCAAAAGAAAATAATAAATTATCCATTGGACCACAACAAATCTTTTAATAGAATTTTATTTCAAGAATGTAACAGTCCAGGAAAATTCCAGATGTTTGTTTTATAAAGCCAACATGAAGAATAGAACAAGAATAATCTATAAAACAGAAGTTGCCATTTGGAGGAGAAAAATAAAGTGTTCATGAGAAAAATGAGTTTAGGTTTTCTTAGAGAACAATGTAGAAGACGAAAGGGTCTTGAGGAGTACAATCTATGATCTATGTTCTTGTGGCTAACTATATAGATGTGGCCCTTGGAACTTTCATTTAGTGTAAACAGATAACCATGATATCAAGGATTTACTTTTTATAGCCATTCCATATTTATATGAAATCTTTCGGAAAGAAAAAGTTTAAATTTTGCTAGTACTTCTCCTTTACCCATAAGGGAAAGTCTAAACTTTAGGCCTAGTATTTGATTTTTTTTGTCAGTCATAGGGCTTGAACTCTGGGCCAGGGCACTGTCCCTCAGCTCTTCAACTCAAGGCAAGCACTCTACCACTTCAGCCACAGTGCCACTTCTGGTTTTCTGGTGGTTTATTGGAGATAAGAGTCTCACGGGGGCTGGGATGGTGGCTCATTGGTAGAGCGCTTGCCTTACATGCATGAGGCCCTGGGCTCAATTCCTCAGCACCACATAAGCAAAAAGAAAAAAGCTGAAAGTAGTGCTGTGGCTCAAGTGGTAGAGCGCTCGCCTTGAGCTGAAGAGCTGAGAGACAGTGCCCAGGCCCAGAGTTCAGGCCCCACAACCGGACCACCCACCCCCCCCCCAAAAAAAAAGAATCTCACAGACTTTCCTGCCCTGGCTGGCTTTGAATCAAGATCCTCAGAGCTCAGCCTCCTGAGTAGCTAGGATTACAGGCGTGAGCCACTGGTGCCCAGCATTTGATGCTTTTTTTCTAATTTATTTTGTGAGACCAGTATTATTTTAATATCTAAACTACACAGAATCATGACAGAAAAGATATCATGAGCTAGTAGCTTATGCCTGAGGTTCTAACTACTTTAGAGTCTGAGATCAGAAGGATCACAGTTTAAGGCCAGGTCAGCCAGCCATTTTCAACTGGGCACAGTGGTGCAAACTGTAATCCCAACTGTGTAGGAGGCTAAAATCAAGCTTTCCAGGCCAGCCAGAAAGTTTGGGAGACTCCATCTCAATGCAAAATAAGTTGAGTGTAGTGGAATGTGCCTGTCATCCTAGCCATAATAGGAAGCCTAAAATAGTAAGATGTGGTCTACGCACATGCCTAGAGAAGGTAGTGAGTCCCTATCTCAACAATAAACAGCACAAAAAAGGCTTAGAGCCATTGGATCAGCAGTAGAGCACCTGCCTGGCAGCCATGAGAACCTGAGTTCAAAACAAATTGTTACAATAAAGGAAACAATCTACTAATAGTTCATATAGATGTAGACAAAAGCTTAAAATTTGAAAAAGCTGAACCCTACATGTGAAAAGAACAATATAGCGTAGAGTAATTAGGTGGGATTTATTGTAAGGAAGCAATTGGCTTAACATTTGAAAATCAAACAATTCTAGTTCATCATACTAAAAGATTAAGAAGAATTTCTCTGCTGAAGAATGATGAAAGAGGTAACACTGATCAAGATGCACTGAACTCATAAACTGACATATTGAATTGAAACCCTCTGGTCAACTACTTTAAAAGAAAGGAAGAAAAGATGAAGAAGAGGAATAAGAAGAAGAAGAAGAAGAAAAAGAGGAGGAGGAGGAGGAAGAGGAGGAGGAGGAGAAGGAAGAGGAAGAAGAGGAAGAAAGAGGAGGAAGAGGAGGAAGAGGAAGAAGGAGAAGAAGAAGGAGAAGAAGAAGAAGAAGAAGAAGAAGAAGAAGAAGAAGAAGAAGAAGAAGAAGAAGAAGAAGAAGAAGAA